ATGCATTTAGTTATAATTTTACTCTAATTCATAATCAAAATTAAGGGGCTGATTCTGTGCCTCTTTTTCAGTTTTTTTTTTTAATCCATAATCTGTGCATATTATAACAAGACTTATTCTTGCTCTTTGCTTCTTGAGCTCCATTTAATACCGAAGGATTAGATTCTATACGGTTTCCTCCTGCCCATTTTTTTTTTCTCTACCTCAAAGTTGAAAATGTATTTCCTTTTTTTGGGGTGGAGGGGGACTTCCTGATTTTTTATGAACAGGAGAACCAATTGGATACGTTTGCATTGAAGCCTATTAGGGAAAATGAAATCTTTAATGCGGACGATCCGACATAGGGACAAGGTCCAAGCAACAAATACATCTGCATCTTGTGGTCCCACTGTGAAAAAAAAAATAATCTAGAAATTCCGATGATGAATAAACGGAGTTTAGATACACGAAGAACACAACTGTATATACCGTAATGTTTTAAACAATTTTTATAACAAAATGATTATTGTTTATTGCGCAGCATGCCAGAGTGGAAATTTTCTTCGAGTGGTTTTTATATAAAAAAAAAACAAGCCATGGTTGAAACTGTTTTCAAGCTCGATATGCTGATAAAAAAAATTCTTCTTTTTTTCCAATATGAAAGATGAAGTCCTTATCCATGATTTATTTTTTTCTCTCTCCGGTTTCACCACACCACCATCATTCCGCCGACTGTATGACTCGCCGTGCAGAATTCCGCTCCAAGAAGTACTGAATTGCTGAGCACGAAACCTTGACGAAACAGTTTCAATCAGACCTCGGATCATGAAGAGCAGTAGGTCGGAAATCCGACGAATTCCTGAAAATGAGAAGGAAAAGAAAAAAAAAATGCTGGGGTTGGTGAGCAGGCAAGAATATAGGAAGCAGTTTAAGGATGAGGAGTCTGAAAATGAAACCCAGCCCTCCCACGGTATTTTCCGGGCGAGACGTGGATCGAATACCCGGAAACGATTGGTTTCATTAAACACACTCGTGTCAGTAGAAGGTATTTCATCCTGGCTTCCTCAAAGAAAAGAAAAGAATTCCGGAAGAGAGATACTGTATATGGGGGAAAAAAAGCTAAGAAACAGGAATAATCTTTCTTTTTCTTCTCGCCAAGTACGAGTCTCCGGGTAGTTACTTCTCCGCCCGCGCGCCGTGCATAAGTCAACAGTCCGTATTTGAAAGGTTGAGTCGGGATTCCTCTCGAGTATTTCTCAAAAACGCTCCAACGGCGAAAAATTTCGCTCATTCATGAATTCTTCTCGACAGATTTTTTTTTGCACTGTTTTTCAAGAATAAGTGATCACTTTAAATGCAGTATTTTTGCATCATTAACAAATGGTCCATAATTGATTCTCTCTTTCCAAAATCTTAGAGGGCCAACATAAACTGTTAGCTGAAAACAATTTCTCCTCAAAGATTCTCTCAAAATTGTTCACTAAACTTGCACTCATCTGGGAGCAGACAGAACACCCTGTCCTTTCATTTGTGTTCATTATTTCCTATTTGCTATAATATTAATACTGACATTTTATTTATGTTATTGGGGGAGAGGGTAAACAGGGTGTGCATTCAGATCAGTTGTGAATTTGTACGTTCTGTGCTGTATGGTATTTTCTTTTCTGTTAACAAACACACAAGGGTTGTCCCATTTTTGATTGACCTTGGGTACATTATTTCTGAACTAGGTACCACTTTTTAAAAAAATCTACCAGCTAGCTCATCTAATTTAAGGTTCTGTGATTTTTTTTAAGTTTTTAGATTCACTGCAAGACAATTAGTGAAAGCTTTCCAGCTTTGGCAGGCATTTTCCATCCATGTCACAAGCTGTTAAAAATGTTTCATTCCAAACAAAAAATTGAATGTATTTCTTTCTTTTTAAAACAATGTTTTCTAAATTTTTGGTAATTTTGAAAATTTTTCAATGATGATTTTGTTTGCCCTGAATAAAAAACTAAGTAAATTTTTCATTCTTTCAAAAGCACTTTTCATTTCCAATTTTTTTTTATTTTCTCTTCAAAAAATCAGCCATTGGCTGGTTTCTGCTTGTGATATGTTTCTTATTACCTTGAGATTTTATGAGGCTTCTGTTTTTTCCATTTTTGGCCCTGAGGTCTTAAGGCAATTTGGATAGACTAGTCTCAGCAGTGTTAGATGGTGTCCATCTTTTTTGCTGGAGTTGTCTCCCCTTTGCACAGGGTTCATCCCTGATTCCCAATTTTAATGAAGCAAGTGCTTCAATTCTTAATTTTGAATCATTTTTCATGTTAATTTTTTGAAATGGTAAAAGTACTGTTGCATTCCAAAAATTGTTTCTCTTCTTCACACAAAGATGAATCATTCTTGTGAAGAAGACCAACAAAATTTGGAATGATGCGTTCCGAATTTTTTGAATGCAAGAAAAAAAAAATGGAATGCATCGTGCCAAATTTTTTTCTGTGAATGCATAATGCATAAACCATCAGATAAATCATGGGTACCAGGAAGGCCTAATCGTTTTCTTGGGTAAGGTCATGGTGTACGTATATCGAGAATTGTCTTTGACGAATGCAAAGTTCAGGTGTGACCTGGAGGGTTAAAATCGGAAATTTTCATCTTTGGATAATGCCTCATGAACTGTTCATGGCAGTAAAAAGGTATATGAATTAATAAGTGGATATCATATGCAATTCCAAATATATTCAATGAAACAGCGGCTGAGAAACACATTTATTACATAATGCTCCATATACTTCGTTGGCGGCTCGTTCGTGACGAAAGTGACTGCTGGTAACTGGTTCCTCGTCATGATCAGACAATCTTCGGTTACACTAAATTTTTCCCTGACGTGGATGTTCAAGTTGACGACATAAGTCGGAATTCCAGAAGAAACGAATCATTGCATGACGTAAGTTGTATAGCAATAAATTTCGTTGAAGAATGAACACAGCAATTGAAACCAGGCCAGCATATTGAAGAAAGGTAAGTTCAAACGAGCAATGGACTGCTATCGGCTATTCCTGTCATTAAAATTATTTTTAATCATGACCTCTTTGGAATTGTTAAATTGAGTTCGAAAAAAATTTGCGAAGGTCGTAAATCGAGAGGTGATTGTCATAACCTACTACAGTACAAGAAAGATTAATCAATAATACTGTACTATCCATTATTTTGTTCGTATTCTGATGGGCTTGCGTAAACTTGACAAATCAACCAAGATAACTTATGAATTGTTACGATGTAATGAGCCATCAACGCTTCATGGAAATCAAATGTCAGCATAAATTTTATAATAACTTTGTTTCAAACTATTTATCAGAAGAAAATAATTTTTTTCAAATCAGGGTAATTGTCGATGGGTCACTGGACATTCCAGAATATTCAACGTCATCGCAACAGGTTTCAAGATTATTTTAATATCACAATATAACAAAAAGTGCATGAAACGAGACTTCTGTGGGAAATTTTTTACATTTTTCCAAAATTCTCAAAAGTGAATTTTTTTAATACTGTATTTCCATCAGACCAATTTTTGATGCCTTCATGAGCATAACCCTCCTACATGCAATGTATTGAACCAATAATCCAACCTTTTTGGAAACATATTGAGATGAAAACTCATCTTGAAAATGTGTTTTCAACTCAATTTATTTTAAATGCGAATTGCAGATTTAAAAGTATTGTATCTAAATAGGTTTATGCCCTCTGCAAAAAGTCTTTGAAAATTATTTAGGCTCTGAACATAACCTTGTTCAGAGGGTTATGCAGGTTTAAAACATTAAAAAATTGTTTAAAACAGGGTTATGTTCAGAGCTAAGGGTTTTTCTCACCGCCAAAATAAGTTTCAAGGACTCTGGTTTCAAATATTATTCCTACTAATTAGAAGCAATAATGTTTTAAACCAGAGGCTTAGGGTTTAAAACAGAGGCTTTTCCAAGTAAGGCCTTCTCAACCTGGACGCATTTTAATTACCTTGGGTCAAACTGAAATGTACTGCCCACCAAAAAGAATCTTGACTTTGCTGCAGGACAGCCAGGAACCTTCTGACATCCAAGGGTGAAGAACCAAGATTTTTGTGGCCATCAACCAGCAGTGGCCTCTGGGTGGTGGGACAATTTGGTGACCCAACCCCCTCTTGGTGTGCAAGAGATTGGGGAGGCCTGCTACTGACTGGGCTGGGGGTTGGAAGGACAGGGAATTTGGCAAGTGGTGGGAACAAAACCATGGAATGTAGGAGCACCACAGGCAGCTGAACCATGGTACAGTACTGAAAAACCTCCACCTAACCTCTCTGTGGCAGAGTTTGGATCTTTTTGCAGCACCTTTCACTCAAGAGCACATGAATAAAAGTTCAAGATACCTGGACTAAATAGTGCAGACCCAAGAATGTAAATCCAATTTTTTTTTACATCAGAAAACTCTGGTTGAAAAAGTAATGAATGTATCACTGAATGGGATTGTTAAAACATTCTTATCTTAAAGGCTTAACATTGAAGAATTGTTGCATCCACAAGAAGGTTTTCAATTGCAATGGGCTTTCCTTCCCCAGAATTTCTTTGATTTCCTGCTTCTCAGCCCATTTCGCAATTGAGTGACCTTTAGTCAAACTGAAATGTGGTAAAAAAAAATTCTGCCATGCAGCAGCAAGGAACCTGCTACCATCTGAGGTTGAAAACGTGAGAACTAGTAATTTATTATGTACTTGAGTGCTGTAAAGGTTATAAATTTCAGCCTTAGGTAAGCCCTATACTTTCATTCTTCATGTGAATTTGTGATGAAGGCTATATTAGATAATTAAGTATTTGATTGCTCTATTTTGTGATTTCAGCAGATATTATTTCAAGTAGGTTGTGGATAAATTTCTTCTCTTTATGAATATGACAATAATAGCAATGGGGAGGAAATCCAACCGGTGTTTCAAGAATTAAACTTCAACATGTGCATAAATGTGGATGGTCGAAAAATTACTCCATCCCTTTGTCTGAAGTGAAACCAGCGAGTCTCAAAAAGCAATGTCTTTAATAGAGTATTCATATTTCTGACTCACATTTACATGCAAGAAACATCGCCAGAACCCAACATTGCAATATGCAATACAGACATCCTGGAAAATTAAAACCCATTTTTAGCAAATCTTGATGATCATCAAGGAACTGATTCAGCTCCAAGCATACTCATTGCTCAAAAATATGTATTTTTCAGGGTGAAGAAAAATTGTTGGCTACAGTAAGAGCTGCATACTGATCCATCAGTCGTTGCACCAAGAACTTGTACAGGGTGTACTCAGAGCTGAGCATTTTCTCCAGGGCTTCTTTAACCTTCGGTGTGATTCCGTGTTTGGGTTTGTTGGAATCGTTGTGGTTGATCCTGCCTCCCTTCCCTTCCTTCCTTGCTTGGCCTGACGCATAACAAAGGCTTCAAAATTACAATGATGTGTTTGTTACGGATATTGGTTCAACTCACTGTAGTAAATATTTTTGATCCCTTTGAAGAACGGCCTTGTTTTGGGGAACTCTCCCATCACAGTCAAAGTTTCGTTCCATTTTTCCAAAACACCGACGACTGGGTAAAATTTTTCAATGTTTTCCTGTGCTTTTCTGAGTGCCTTCTTGCTATTGCGTATCCTGTTGGTTGAACAATTATATGCTTAACTTATCCAGCATTCGATGAAATAATGAAGATGTGTGGTTCATACCAGCAATAAGGTTCCTGTCCACAAAAGTATGCGACGAAACCGAAGTTCGGTTGCTTATTGAAGTCGTATGAAGTACAATTCATCCAAGACTGATAACTTTCAATGCAGTTTTCAGGCGACTGATCCAGCCTGAATAACGATTGAAAAAAAATTAAACCCGAGGTCTCTAGAACAGGGAAGTTCCTGTTTACTATGTGAATTCATTAAACTTCACCATAAAAAGTATGTTTGCGTGGTAATTCGAAGTTTCTTTGAGATTCATCTAAAAATCAAGAGAATGATTTACTGTGTATCTCTTGAACATGTACGAATTAATAACCTCGGTAATATTGCGATAGTTTTACTTCAGTAAATGTAAGATGAAGGGATGATTCGTTTCATTTGATATTTCGAAAATTCAATGGTTGCATGGGGGGATTAATGTTTTTTGTGGAATAATCAAGTTATGTTATTCCTTGCCAAGATTTGTGAGGTTTGATGTCTACTTTGAATACTTCGATGTTGTATTCCAGCACATGCTTCGACCTCACGAAGTAAAATTTGGAAAATTCGCGGGCAACCGGGTCGCGAACAGTGTTGAAATAAATCGGCATCTTGAACCCAAGTCTGCAATCCACAAAAACGTCTCATTAATTATTGAACACCTAATTAAAGTGGGAAGTGATATTACCTCGTAAAATCGATGAAATAATAATGCTTCCTGTAAATCGTTCGACGTTTTTTTTGTCCTTGAAATCCAGAGCTACTGCCTTGACTTACGGAGCAGAATAATTCTGCGGCTAATCGTTGCTGTTCTTCCAAAGTGGCCCTTCCATTTTGTAGGATCGGCGGATCGAGAAGTGTGAATTGGTTTTCTCGGGACAGTCTGGTGGAAGAAAGATTTTAAAATTTAGTAAAACCATGTTTGTCGTCGAAATCACTTTTCACGGGAATATTAAGGACTCACTCTTGGAACGAATACGACAGGCCCAAACTTCCAGTCTTCGGGATTGAATTGTAAAACATCGCATTTTCTTCAACATCGTCCACCGACATTTTCGGAGCGCTGTTGCTTCCTGGATGCATGAATTTTTTTTTTATAGAAAGAGAGGAAATAAATCCGAATTCGATTATGCATACGCTGTTCCGAATATTTTTTTTTCAAGAGCAGGCTGCAGAGGCCTGATGGAAATTTTGAGAAAAATCAGCCTAACGCAATCACATTCAGCAATATTCAACTAAATTGGCATTAAAGAAAAGATAAATAATTCCATCGATTCAAAATACGCTGTGAATCCAAAAAATATTACGGTACACAAGTTTTACTCAGTCATCTTTTTTTCTTTTTCCATTTCTTCCGAATGCTCAGACACTTTTTCACCCGTTAATTTAGTAAGAGCGGTTAATTGCATGCATAGCTATAACTTCAAAAGCTTCGTCAAATAGTGCATCGAATTGTTTTCTAATTGTATGTGCGTGACTCTAATTTTATATTCCATACACTTCTCACAAGGTCTAAAAATATTTGCTTAGAAGTTCCATCAATGTTTGGGAATAAAGTACAATAAATACAATCAATTGATCCTAGCATAATTATTGGTCGTCTTCTCATCAATGTGTCTCATACATCTCACCTCTACCTGTTCTTCATGAAACGATTTGTCGTGCGTTCAAGTTTCATTTTAAAATCTTGTGTATAAATTGGGATTCTAATTACTTAATTTATTCGAGGCTTGTGAAAAAAAAACAAGAACGACTACGACACTGATACATTGGGAGGAATAATTGAAGTACAGCACACCAGTAACAATAATGAAGAATGAGGAACCCAGAGAAAACTCTTTTGGTCAAGACAGGAAAAAATCCAATACCACGTTAATTTCAAATATATTTTCGGCTTCCTTTATCTCCTTGAAAAATAAGATTATAAGTTGTATTGTTTAATTACTACTGTATATACTCACTGTATTGTCTCAAAAAAATCACCGCACTACACACTGCTATGAAAAACGAAGTCTTCCATGAATGAGAACAAAAGCTGTCGCAAAATACTGACTGGTTTCCGACTATTAACTTACCTTTTGCGCGACTCATCGCTGTTGTGGATTCATTTGTTTTCCGCAAAACGCACTCGAGGTCCTCAAAAATGTACGGTTTGATCAAAGGTTTAAATTTTGATTGCGTGAACAGGCAGAACAATGCGATTGAACTGCAAAAAAATACAACGAATGAAATTCTATTCACAATAAAATAATTTATTGAATTGGATACTCACTATACGAGGCCGAGAAGCAAGATCAGTCGTTTCTGAGTAATCAAAGTCATGTTTTGCGACCGAAAGCTAAACCGCATTTCAATTTAAAATTCCCTAAATCTATTATCACAGGGCAGTAAAATTCAAGTGAACCACGCACTGAGAAGAATCGCCTTGAAACACAAGAGATTGCATGAAGAGCACGTTGAGGTAAACATTGCTGATTTCACTGCAAAATAAAATGGGTTTTTCAGTTGTTTTTTTTTTCTCTTGCCGTACTTGAGTCAGTTGCTGAAAATGCGTAAAAGAAACTCCTCGCGTCACCGGAGCAAGAAAATAAGCCTCACGTTGGAATCGAATGACTTGTTTAAACTCGTGCGTCGGCATTGAACTAGAGTATTGAAGGAAAGCATGCTTTCATCTTTTTCTGTGACGAACGCCGAAATTGAAACTCAGGTGATGACGACAGTTGACGTTTCTTTGTGAAAGAAGGAGTTGGGCTTATACAACAGTAGCACACTTCTTCTGGAATATAGAAACAAATACAGTGGGTCCCGACGTACGGACACCCGTAAATGTGGGCGATTCAACTGAAGGACATTTTGAATTGAAAAAAAAAAAATTCTCCCGCTTATACTGTGCATCCTGACGTAATCTCTCGATCTCTCGAGATACGCCAGCTGAAAACATTTCTTTAGAACAAATGGATATTTTATTCTTCATGTATCCTGGAGTTATTTCTATCAACAAACATGCGTGTATATTTTTTATATATTTTATGCGCAATACATTCTTCAATGTTTCATCAATGACTGCAAGAAACATCCCGGGGATGAATATTTATTCTTCATGTATCCTGGAGTTATTTCTATCAACAAACATGCGTGTATATTTTTTATATATTTTATGCGCAATACATTCTTCAATGTTTCATCAATGACTGCAAGAAACATCCCGGGGATGAATCTTCAAATTTTAAAGGGCGATTGATTCGCTCAAGTTGACAAAATTTGTGAAAGTAATTACATCAGAAGTAAACTTTAAACGTATGCCACGTACAGGAGGCACTTCTAAGATAATTTTCATAATGCTTCGTTTAATTTTCGGTTTTTTTCTCTGATGCATTTTTTGTGTTTTATTCAGAGTAATTATTCACGCGACGGAGTAGCATGTATGTTGAGTTTTCCGAATGCTGTAGTGTGGACGTTTTTCGCACTACGTAATGTAATTGAAGTTTGCTAACATATCATAGATAATAATAGAGAATTCAAGAATCAGTTAATTCAAGTTCGCGTGTTTTAGCTCAAAAAATTCCGAGAAAAACCCGCCGGCTTTATATGAGACAGCATGACATGAACCCAAGTAATAATTTCTGCTTTATACGTTCTTGACTACAGGGGGCTTCTTCAAACATTCCACATTAATCATTCTAGAGAAATTGGAGCAGATTCTCCGGGAATCTTGCAAAAATTTGGTAACTATTTTGCATTTTCTTTTCGAAATTAAATTTGCATGCATTCATTTCGTCGGGGCCTCGCGCTGAAGGCTCAGTACTAGCTACATCTAGCCGTTCGAAATGAAACTTCATTTTCAGTAGTACGTGTTTCACTGCACAGAGTAAGGGGAGGTGGATTCGTCAGTTATCAGAATACAGTATGATTTTCTCGAACTTTAAATATAACTCGACTTCCAACAGGTTGAGAAGTACAGCACTGTATTTTGTGGAACATAAGAAATGCTGGAATACTGTAGCTGAACAGATGCTTTTAGCTATAAATATTTAGGCCATAGAACAGAGTTTGAAAATTATCTACAGCATTGCAGTTGGGCGTCGAAATTGAGTTAAAATTGTGTAAATATATTATAACATCCCTGCGTTGAATCACAAAGACTTCAACAGAAAAAAAATGTTGAGTTCATATGTGTGGCAAAGGAATCAACAAAATTCCTGAAAAATCCAGTGAAATTTTTTTTTTACCGCAAAACAGAAAATGACTCTGCGTAAAAACCAACCAGAGTCAGGTTGTTTGAAATGAAAAGGAGTCGAAAGGGCAAAAAGCAAACACACATGACGCTGCAGTGGAAATACTGCAGTATTTGAAAAACTCTGAAAAGAAGAGCACAGATTTTACCTTGTTTTGGGAATATGCAATTGAACCTCAATAACTTTATTAAACCACCCAAAGTCAAATATTTTAAGTCACTGTCTGAATTCTCTCAGAAACAATGCATTAAAAACTTCCCTAATTTAAAGGATTTTCCTCGCAAACCTCTGTGAGTCAAATTTTCTGAGGTCTTTTGGCAATTATTTTCTTGTCACAGGAAAGAAAAAAATCAGTAATTTCATGGGTTTTTAATGGAAGTGATAGAACAACTGGGCAAATTAAGCCTTGCCTCAAAGTTCAGAATCCTGTTGACTCATGTAAGACACCATTTAAGGCCCAGAATAGTACTATTTAGAATTTTTTTCAAATTTTCCTACGTTACTCGCAGCAAAAGTGCTTACGGATTCCGTAACTCAAACCTGTATAACTCAAAACCTCCGTATTAGTCAAAACCTGCCAGAGTCAATTTTTTTCTGGTCCCTCCAAATTCGACTTGAAGAGGTTCATAAATTGGAGTAAATTACCAATGAGATATATTTTGACCTTATGTCCATGACATTGGTTCTATTTTCCATGAGATACCTTACTGTAGTTTCCAGTGTTCATAAGTTTTATTGGTCTATACTTCCATGTGTCTAATGAGAAAGCCTTTGTTATCCAGGAAATACTCGGGTTTGTTTCCAAGACCCCTTTTTAAATTGCACCTTACTTCGAGAAAGCAAACAAGGTTTTCTCCTTGCAGCTGTTCCCCTTTTCCTCGCAAACCTCTGTGAGTCAAATTTT